ATTTTGACTAGCCATGTCAATACTACCCTTCGTATCTGACTACCCCCTAAATTCTTTTCTCTACCCCCATATTTCTCTGATTTACTACCCGTCCTCAATTAACCCCACCCTCTACTACATCTTCTCGTTTCATACATATGGTCGCGCCAGTGCAGAGCGCTGGTGGATGGGAGGGAGGGAGAGAGAGAGAGAGAGAGGGGACGGATGGAATGGAGGGAAGGAACAGGCAGGCAGGCAGGCAGGCAGGCAGGGAGGCAGGGAGGCAGGCAGGCAGGGAAAGAAACGACGGGACAAGGGAGTGTGGGTTACTGGGGGCAAGAGGGGCAGGAGCAGGAGACGAAAGTAGAACAAGTGAAATACTGCTTCACTGGGCAGTTAATGCAGAGAAAACAGGACGCAACAATGCAAGAGATCAGAAGCTGTTTGTCATGATCATAATATCAAACTTCACCTGCTGATGATCGCTTCTCGCAGAGTTTCTAGGGGCTGATTGGCCGGCAACCGGCTGCCCTCCACCATGCCGCGAGCGTCCAAGTACCAAGACACCATTGAGGAAGATAGGGAGTACGATGACGACTATCGCGCTGGGACGCCGGAGACAGTGGACGAGAACATGGATGCGCAACACAAGCAGACAACAAACAGGACCATCAGAGACCTTTCTACGTTTGAGATGACAGTCAATCACTCCAAGATCCTCATCCTCATCAGCAAGTACGCGCAGTGTGCGCTCACGGCCGAGGATCATGAGACGTGGTTCCGGCAGCTCCCGCTGCAAGTGATGGTGAGCTGTGCTACTTGGCGATCGCGCTGCTACTCACGGAGAGATGCAGATCTATGAAGGGATTTCAGCAGGCGTGCTCGACTACGATTACTCCCCCACCTCCGTCTTCGTCAGCTTCGACGGCTCAAGTCGGAGGATCTACATGAACATCTCGCAAGAGGGGAGGTCTGCCGTCGAGGACCTGTTGGATCAGAAGCTGCTCAACGGCATGAAGATAGCGACTGAAGAGTGATTTGACAGAGTCCTTGCGTTGACGGCTGTGCTGATCCTTCATGCAGCTTTCATCCCATCACCGCGTACCAGCTGTCACTGAAAGGTCTTCAGTTCCTTAAAGTTCGTTTTGCAGCCTCCTCCCTCTGCACCTTGTGAAGTGAACCTCTCGCAGACTCTCCCCAACTCGCTCTTTGAGGAGGTGAACGAATTTGTTTATGCGCCCAACGCCCCGCACTACGAGACGGAGCTGTTGGAGTGTTCCTTCAACGGCGAAGTCTTCGTGCTCAAGACAAGAAGCGGGTTTCAACGAGACTCTTCAATCACAGTGTAAGTTGTGAGAGTGTCTGATTGTGCACGCTTGTCAGAGCAACGAACAAGATTGTCTATTTGTGTGATGCAAGTTCATAACATGATGGCGATTGTTGGTATCAGCGAGTTGCGTATGATATGATGTTGTCTGCGCACACTGTTTCTTCGCTTACTGGAGCTCAGTATCGAAGACTTGTCCTACGTCTCCAGCGCATACATCCCTCAGTGTCTGAGAACAAGGTGGGGAAGGCCATGACCGACAACTCCCACCGGGCCAACGAGTGCGCCGCTGGTTATGACAACATCCGTGACGAGTTGACGGAAACCATCCACCTCGTGAGCCACTTTGACGTTTTTGTTTTGTTTGCGAGGGTGCTGGACTTGACATGTTTCCTTGTCAGTCCTACGTCACGGTGATTGTGGGCGAGTGGTGAGAAGAAGCTCAAAGTCGATGGCGACGACTGATCGCTGTTTCTCTTGTAAGGGTGCCGTACGGAGCCAACAACATCGTCGCGCTGAATGAGCGCCTGGGGATTCTTGAGAGGTGCCAGGGGGGCCTGTACACGAGCTTTCAAGACAAGAATCCGTCGGGGACCAACTTCAAAGTCCCACCGGGGCTGACGAGCGTTGAGATTATCGACTACAACATGACGCGCTTCGCAAACTTCGAGAGCGAGATCAGTTTTCCTGAGGACAGCGGCATCTTGCAGATCGAAAACTTTGGCATTCACGTCAACGTCGACGGGACAGTCTGCTGCGGGGTGCGGATAGAGGCTGTCAAGGACCGAAGGGTGAAGGAGACGACCCGGCATGCGCTGCCCTGACATGCTCGACTCAGGCTGATGACGTGTCACTCGACCTTCTGTCTCGCGTGCTTGTTGACATCCAGGTAGGTTGTCGAGTACCGGTTGGGAGGGTTGAATGATACTTGCTGGTACAGATGGACTCGTCGCGCATCCTCCATGACCTCTTGGCTGGGTACCAGGTGGGAAGCCTCCTGGCCTCCTCCCCTTCTGCTCCTCCTGCTTCTCCTGCTCGCTCCTCCCAGCACCTCCTCTTCCCTGCTCCTTCTCCTCCCTCGTAATCCTCTCTTCTTCCCTCCTTCTTACAACTCTCTTACTCCATCTCCTCCTCCCCGATGTTTTTCAGCACCCCCCACCCCCTGGTCTTCTGTTTCGTTTCCTCCTTGCTCGCTTGTTTTAATCCAATTTCTCAATGCCCTTCCTCTTCTTATCTCCTGGTCCTGCTCTACCACCGACTTTGTCCTTCCAATCTTTGTTGCTTCTATATGTTTCGTCCTCCTTCGCTCTTCCTCCCCCCTGTTTCTCTATCGCTCGTTTGCTAACTTTCGATTTTTTCCCTTCAACAGCGAGGGCTGCTGGATATGCTTTTCATGGGAGATGCCGCAAACAGAAACAAATACAGTTGGTTGGAAAATCTTTCTCTTCTCTTCCCTCCCTGCCCAACTCCTCCACCCCTCTCCCTCCCGCTCTCCCTCCTTCTCTTCCTCCTCCCTCTGACACTTTCCGTTCAGCGTCCTCGCCGAGTCCATCCAGCCTAAGATGCCGGCCAAGGACTACATCTCCCGGGGAGAGGCGAAGAATGAGATCAGGCAAATCCTTGGTGAGATCTACACAGCTGAAGACATCGGCAACGATGACGTCATCATCCTTGGGAGGGACGGGTTGATTCTTGCCGGACCCAACTGCCTCCGGCTGGAGCCTCTAGTGATTTACTACGTGTCGCTGCTCTGCCGCGAAACGTTCATTAGGAACTTCTTCATACGAACTTTCATCCTCACTGTAAGCAACCCTCCTCTCCTGCTTCACCATCCTCCATACCTCCCTTCCCTTTTCACTCTCCCTCCCTCTCCCTCT